GATGTCCTTATCCTGTGGATGACTTCTAGTAAAAAAAGCTTCTACAGGGATGCATAAGTAGTGATAGACCCAGAGAGCAGGACAGATGTGCTGTAACTACTATGGTTCTTTTGCAGGAAAGAAAAAAAATAATTTTTTAATTGCCAATAAGCTTCTTTGGGTGAATCTGATATCTTTTATTAGACCAACTTAAATATTTGAAAAAAAATTTCTTAGCAGGCTTTTGGGTTTAAAAACCCTTCATCAGGCTGAGGAAGCATCTGCAGTTGGTGTGTGCTCTTCTTGGATGGAATGAATAGTAGAGAAGCCAGAGGCTGGCATGCATGCAAGAAAGGCAGTCGGTGAGGATGTAAATTGAGGAGTAAGTGGGTGAGAGACAGGCTGGGGAGTGAGGTGGGGGGAGAAGGGGGATGAATGTAGCAGGTAAATAGGGGAGCGGTACCTGGGGGGTCAGATGTCCGGCAGGTTATAATGTGTCATAAATCCAATGTTTATATTTAGTCTGTAACAGGGGGCTACCGGGGCAGATCTCCGCGAGGCCTGCCCACCTGTTCTTGGGCTAACCGCCCGCCTTCTTGCCCACCATGCCTTGGTCTTAATTGATTAATTAATAGATGTAATAGGCGAGAGGCTGCCCATTTTCTGCCCTGCTGCTGGGGGGCATTATCTGCGACTCCATTCCTCCCCTATACCGCAGCTCAAGCCTCGCTGTTGACATCATGATGTTCTCATACGTGCCAGTCCCCCATGATGGGGCCCAGAAGCCTACTGTAGGACCCCACCTGGGTTCCTCCCTTCAGGTGGACTCTGCCACCATCATACCAGGCCATATATCGCCCTGCCATTGGTTCCCCTTTGGATGTGGTCCCCTTACTGGGACCTTCGGCTCACACTAGCCCCAGCCCACCTCTAGGCCAGCTGGGACCCCAAGCCCTTGGCTCTTGGGCATCCCTCTCAGTGGGCCTCCTTGCCCTTCTGACCCTCCTGGCCCCCGCCTGGGGCAGTCATGGGAAGTTCTGGCAGGCCCTGATGTATGACCCATACTCTTATCCCAGGGTCCCCCTCTCTGGATCCTCCTTTATGGATGTGGGGAGCTGGGGTACCTCACACCATGACTAGTGCCTCAGGGTCTCACAGGGGACTCTCACTACCCCCATGGGTAGCTGGTTATGGTGCTACAACTGGTGTTATCTTTGACCCACACTCTGCCTCTTAATGGTGGAGGACTTATTGGGGTCAGGGCTCATCTCTTGCTCTCTCTGGCTGAGCCCCCTCTCCCTTCACAGGGCTCCACATCTTCTTCTCTCTGGGGCTTCTGATCACTGACCTCCTCTCACTGTGGTTCCACAGAGCTGGCCCCCTCAACTGGGGCTCCTCAGCACGGCCCCCTCTCAACTGGGGCTCAGATGTTATATTTGATCCAAACTCTGCCTCCTAGCATTGGAGGACTTACTGGGGTCAGGACTCAGCTCTCTCACCCTCTGGTTAAGCCCCCCTCTCCCTTCACAGCGCTCCACATCCCTCTCATGCTGGGGGCTCCACACTGCTTGTAATGCCCCCTTTACTCGGGGTCTCAGGGGTTCCCTGCACAGATGGGCTCAGGTAGCCATAGCTGTGCCTGGCCCCAACTCTCCTCCTCAGGGTCTCGAACCCCCGCAGGGCTCAAGCAGCCTTGGCCACACCTGGCCTCCAGCTCTCCTCCTCAGGGTCTCAAACCCCGACAACTACCTCCGGTGTACCACAACCCACCCTAAGGTGAGGGTTAGGGGTTAAGGCACCCCAACCCACCTTTCACCAGGATGATCACTGGCCTGGCATTTCCTGGGGGCTCCTGCACCACTGGGCTGCCCCACCAGGCTGCCCACTCCCAGCACGGTGTAGTTTCAGGTGCTCCTCCTTTACCTCCAGCTGAAACTTGGCAGCCCTCAGGCCAGGCAATGTTGTTGCCTCTCTAGCAGCCAAACTGCTTTGTTTATATAGGCATCCCTGAGCCTAAAATGGCTGCCCTCATTAGGCACCTGGAGGCTGCCAGCTCCAGGTCCTTAAAGTGGCAGGCACACATACTGCCCTGCCACACAGTCCATGATTTTTTGTATCCAGGAGGCTGATGAAGTGAAGTTCATAGGCTCATCTCTGGGAAGTGTTTTGTAAATTCCCTTTGATTAGAACTAAGAGATTGGAGAGAGAGTGGTTTTCTTGTGAGAAATGTGCCCCCACTGGTAATTGGGTGTTCTTGTCTTTAATAGATTTCCAGTGTGCATTCATCCTGGTGCATAGTTGTTGTTTGATCTCTCCTATGTATTTTCCATCAGGGCATTTGGTGCATTGGTGGAGATGTGTTCGCAGGTTTTGCATTTCTTGTCATGGCATAGTCTAGATCTATTTGGTGTGTTCTGGGCCATAGGAAGTTTGCTTCTGGTGATGAGGCTAGCAAGGTTTGGTGCTTGTTTGAAGGCTAGGGTGGGTGGTTCTGGGAAGATCTCTGTAAGAATAGGGTCTGATCTTCAGTGTATTTCATCTAAAGAATATTTCCCTTTTTATGATTTTCTTGGTTTCATGCAAAATAACTTGTCCCTAGCAACATTTACAGGTTCTCCTGAAGACAGACTTTACGGACTCTGAATGTTTAACTATATGCAAAAAATTTGATTTTCATTTTAAATTAAGTCTGTGTTGTAAATTCTGCATTTTCTCATGCCATATCTATTTGTTTTCTCACTTGCAAATGAAATTGAAAACAGCCTCATTTCCCTTAATCTGTTTAAATAAGTGAAGGTATAGATTTCTTTGCTTTTCATGTTGCGGATTTAATCCAAACCTTTAATCCAGTTGTTGGAATTGAATCCTTTTTTGTTTTTTAAGAAGTTTTGTATGCTTCTGTTAACAGACTATTGCTGTTGACAAAACCTGTACATTATTTTTAATGAGGTACCTTATGCACAGCACTGATGTGCTGTTACATGTATTGCTACAAGGGTTTTCAACATTTTTTGGATCGGTGTACCTCCA